CTGCGGGGCTTCCGACGAGACGATCATGCACAGGATCTGGCTGTGCCCGAACAACCGCGACCACGAGGACTACACCGATTCTGACGCCCTCCTTCTCTCAGCCCTTGCTGGGGCTGAGGCTGTTCCTGCCGACTGGCTCCGCGGCCTGCCTGTGCGCGCAGGCACGTACCCTGTCTTCACGTCGTTGGGCGGGGACGGCGGGTGGAGCTGGGTTGGGCGCGACTGGGAGGTCTGTGGCAACGGCGATGGAACTCTCACCCTCTCCGTCGTCGGGTCGGGTGGCCAGTTCAGCGACGACCCCCGTCGCCGAAGGGTGGGAGCCGCCTGCATCGCTATGAAGAGCCTCCTTGGGGAGTGGGTCCCCTGGGGAGGCATTCTCTCGGGCTTGGAGGATCCCTTCCAGACGGTGCCCCGTGCCGAGCTCTTGGCTCTTGCACTCGCTCTCGAAAACTGGCCTGGCGATCTCTGCTTCATTGCTGACCATCTGCCGCTTTACGACGGGTGGAGGACGAACCGACACCGGCGCCCCAGCGAAGGCGCCAACCTAGTCTTGTGGGCACGCATTGCCAAAACAATGTGCGCTCGTGGCAGCAGCAAGCTGGAGGTGACCTGGGTGCCCTCACACAGCGAGGGAGCACCTGGTCTTGCTTCCGACCCTGTCCGGTACTTCCGCATCGTAGGCAATGCAGCAGCTGACGCGTGGGCAGGTGTCGCCGCTCAAGTCTCCTGCGAGGCAACTCTCGTGGGCCAGGCTCCTCCCACAGACCTGCATGATACCCAATGTGCCCTCATCCGCAGGAGGGCGCGCAGGGCGCTCGCTGACACGCTTGCAGTCGACCAGTGGGTCGCGGAGCGACCCTCGCAGGCCAAAGGCCCACGCCTCACCAAAAGCTCCAGCTAGCCACGCAGACAAGCCGACATTCCTTCGAGCTCCACGCAGACAGGCACCCGTGCACGCGTTGCGGGCTCACTACCGACCTGTGTGCAGCGCGGCAGGCGTGCGCGACGCCCTGCCACCACAAGCCGCCGCCGCCCACGGCCAGCGAGCAAGTGGTGCCAACACAGGGCGCCGCTGCCATACGCGGGCGTGAGCTGCACGCCTCTCGCAAACTTCACTGTCTGCAGAAGCGCCGTCTGTATTTCTGCCGCGAATGCGGCAAGACGGCTACGCAGGACCCACGCTAGCTTGCCGCACCCTGCATGGGCATCACGACGGAAGGGCGAGAGAACCTCGCAACGATAGACAGTGGACTTTTCACCCGCGCCCACGCTGGGCGCGACGGAGTGACCCAATTCGCGCGGGCGGCCGCCCACGGCATGGCCGTGGAGGAATGCACTGACGCCGCCGCGCGATTGCCGCTGTGCCCGCAAGCGCCACACAGCAGGAGAGTTGGAATGCACTTGGCCTCGCTCGCAAGAGGCACCTTGGTGCGCTCGGATGCATCCTCGTGTATCCTCCTCCTGTTTCTCCTCCTCCTCCTCCTCCTCCTCCGCCTCTTCCCCCTCCTGCTCGCCCCGTCATCATCTTCCTCCTCTGCCCCCTCCTCCTCTTGCTCCTCCTCCTCCTCCTCCACCTCCTCCTCCAGGAGAACACGAATGTACCATTCGATTGGACATGCGCAGATGCTGTGATATGAATGACCCTCATGCACTGCTCCGCGAGGGCCAAGTGTAGGGCTTTCCACTGCGACTGCTGTGGCTACTCATTCAGAGCTACCAACAGCCCCGAAAGATCCAGGCGTTTGGGAGTGTCTCCACGGCGTTCCGTTCGTTTCGGCGGATCCTGGCTGGGTGTACGCATGCTACGTATATGCTGTACCTCCTCACGTACAGATCGGTCCAGGGGGTCTCCAGATTGTCTCCTACCATGACTCCGAGAACGCTCATGGACGACATTGGGCTTCAGAGTATCTCCGAAAACCCCAAGGAGGCCAGGTTGCTCGCGCTCGCGGCTAGGGGTTTCATCCAGGACTCGAAGGGTCTCGGCATGATCCTGAAGGCGTCCACGTCTGGGGCTGTTGCTGGTTCTACAAAGTTCTGGAAAGGGGCGCAGTTCCACGTGGGCTCCATGAAGATCCCGTGCGAAGGGCGCATGGGGAACCTAGGTCACGAGCTCATGGGGCCCAGGGTCACCAGAGGCCTGGAGACGCACCATCTGAAGCGCCTGCGCGAGCGCAAAGCCCGCTCCCCCATGCTCAAAACGGCAGTTGGCAAGGTCTCTACTGCACTGTGGCGCGCGGGCGCCCTTCCTTCAGTGGCGCATGGTGCTGCAGTCGCAGGCGTCAGTGGCGTTGCACTTCGAGAGCTGCGTCTTTTTGCTGCTGTCTTGAATGGCGCGCCAGGCAGGTCGAACGCTGTTGTCACAGCTTATCTGATCAGCCACAAGAATGAGCTCTACGACCCCATCTATCACGCCACTCTCGCTATCGTTCTCAAATTTGCCGGGTGGGTCTGGGATGGGCGTATTTCCGATACTGCAGGTCCGCGCCGTGTCGACCCTGGCGTTGGTTCCTGACACCGCGCTGGATCGTTCAACCTTGAACGATTGGCCGCTGCCGCAACGTCCAATCGTTCAGCATCGACCGATTCTGGGTCGCCGCCGGCGTTCAACCTTGAACGCCCGCGCTGGGGTCGCCGCTGGTCGACACGACGCGAACCTGCCGTAGTTGGTTGCATCGGGCCTGGGAGGCCCCCAGAGACAAAGTTGGCAAGATGTCTTGGGCTCCTGCGAGGGGCCCGACGCGGGCCTGCTGGATGGCGCCACCACGTCTAAGCTAGGGCTCCCAGCTTCGCGCTTCGCGCTGCGCGAAGCGCGAAGCGCGAATAACTTCGCGCCCTCGCGCCGCCCCCCCAAAGGGAGAATAGGAGGACGAGGAGGAGGGGGAGAAGGAACGAGGACCGCGAAGCGCGAAGCGCGAATAACTTCGCGCCCTCGAGGGAGCCCTTGTATAAGATGGAACATGGTGGCTAGTCATATGATGGCGGATGACTTAGGTAATGTGTTCGATCTCCGTGTCCTGTGCCCTGCCGATCTGAAGGTGTTCCTCGTTCAGGGGTTCGGCGCTGGCAGGGCAAGCGTTTGCTCCAGCATGTCTACGCCGCGGACAGCGCGGACCAGGTCTGGCATCGCGGCTTCAGGAATTCTCTAGCTGGCATTAAATGCGTTCGCAGACTAGGGTCCAAGCGCACTGGTCAGGTAACCTCCCCATATCTCAGATTCAGGGTGCTCGTCAGAAGAACCCCATAAGGCCATGTGTCGCTTGCGGGGCCCCGTCCAGGGATGCACGGGGGCACGTGCTCGTCGATTGCCCCGCGATGCTCGAGCAGCACCAGGGCTTCCTGGACATTTCGGAGCAATTGGAGGCTACCAGAGGGATGCTCTTGAAAAGGGGACAACTACACGATGGAGGCCTGTCTTAGGAGCCTAACTACCCGGTGTTTGTGGTTCCTGAACCTCCTGCGGGCATTCCTGGTTTGGACAGCATCAGCTCAGAGGTCCTCAGATGGGGAGATACCGAAGGGAAATGGGGCCCCAAGAGTTTCACAGACGGATCAGGTCTCGCGTCGAGTGTTCCAGAGACGCGGAAGTGCGGATATTCGTGCGTCCAACTCGACCTACAGTCGCTCCTGCCGATCCGTGCGGTTTTCGGGCCCTTGCCCTTTTATGTGCATACCGTCGGCCGTGCTGAGAGATATGTTATTAAGATGGGTTCGGAATTTCATCCTGACCATGAGTTGTTCGTGTTCGATCTCCTGGGGCTCGTGAAGGAAGGCCAGTCGTGGACAGATTCTCTTCAGCATGGCCGCTCGAGGCACGCTAGGATTTGGCGATATATTGCCAGGCTGCCCAGCATCGTGCTGAAGGGCGGTCAGTTCGCTTCGAATGGACACCAGCACATCGGGACCCCGAGAGAGTGCTGGACGACCCGCCCGAGCTGGAACATTGGCTCGGCAATGCCTGGGCAAGGGCGGCATACCATATGATTGCGAATGCCGTGTCTGAATCGCTCGAGGAGGCCTCGAAAGTTCACAGAGGCACGCTTTATCTCCTGGGCTTGTCGACATGGTATCGTGTCGGAAAGTTGGGGTCGCGGGCGTGGCCCCATGGTTCGGGTCCCCCTCCGAGATATCCTGAGCAATCCTGTCGTCTTTTGTCGTGCGTCTGATCATAATCTCTGGTGGTGCAGGAGGCTGAAGGAGCACAGGTCCAGGAAGTGTGGGGGGTCGGCTCGTTCGGATACGACGCTCGCGTGGCTCCGCACCGAGTCGGGAAGGAAATGTGAGCCCACAACTATCCAGCGCCTCCCCTGTGCCGGGTGGTTTAGGAGTTCGCGAGAGGACTGGGTCAAGGTATCGGACCCTCGCCTCAAGCCCTCGCAAGAGCTTGCCGACGAAGTTTTAGGGGACGGCCCTGGCCTGGCCCCGCGGGATCCCGAGACCGGCCCTGGGACCGTGGACCCTCCCCAGGCGCTGGAGCCCTCGGAGGCTCTCAAAGTCCCTGGGTCGGCAGAGCTCATTTCCGAATTCGCTGTTTTGGGCCACGACGTGTTCTGTGTCAATTCAGTATATTGCTGCCGCAAATGTGCGGGCACCACGACTGTCGAGACGGCTCGGAGCGTTCGGAAGCTCCGTCGCGTGTGCCTGGGACTCTCAGAGAATCCGAGCACGCGGGCAAACCAGCTAGGGTTGATCGATCGGATCTTCCATGGCCGTCCTGGGCGCACCAAGCGGCCCGAGGGAGTGACGTAGCTTTGTCGTTTTACTTTCCTGGGTGTAATCTGAGGCGTTGGTTTACCCTGGCCTCCGCTCGCCCTCCCAGCTCATAATATCCAGCCGCTTCACGGCCCCTCAGGGTTCTCATTGTTCCTGAGGCGTGTTCGGCTCGGACGCGCTCTCACTGGCCCTCATCCCTCATCCCTCCGCCTCCTCCTCCTCCTCCTCCTCCTCCTCCTCCTCCTCCCCCTCCTCCTCCCCTAATGGCCGCCGCGCGCGACGGTCCA